TCAGTCCTCGAGGCAGCATCCTCTGACAGCGTTGGTGCTCGTGTAAGTTTTCATGTACTGTTCAAATTGCGTAAATATAACGACAATTGGCATGAGAAAATAACAAATAGTGTTGGTTATATTTCTTAAATTTTGGTTGTCGTAAACATATTTCTTTTTCTCTTTCAGTCTCCTTCTCCCACACACCACGAGAGGAGGACAACATTTACCTGCACAGCCACAATTCATCATACATGAATACCTGTGATGCAAACAATTTGAACATAATAATTGTAAATATATAACTAACATGTAAATAATATATTCATTAATTTATTTCTTAATATGTAAATAATATAACTATTAATTTATTTCCTAATATGTAAATAATATGTCCATTAATTTATTTCCTAAGCTGTAGATAATTGTCCATTAATTTATTTCCTAAGATGTAAATAATATGTCAATTAATTTATTTATTTGTCCATATGAATACTAATAAATTTTGTAAATGTAAATAAGATGTCCATCAATTTATTTCTCTGTACATATGAATATTCATTTTGTAAATTTTGTACCAATTGTGTAAATAAATAATTGATGTTTTGTAAATTGCAATTATTTTAGTTTACTTTTCTGAAGTAGCTAATTTGTGATCCTAATTTTGCGACCAAAAAGAATGAGATTTTCAGCTATGATATTCTCTTGTCATATGAAAAGTGTCTTTTTAAATGACTTTGTATCTTGTATAGCCCACAAACATTCTACTTTTTAACACCTGCTCTGCCATAACCTAAAACTATGTTTGAAATAAGTATACATTTTGGTTGCAAATTAAGCATAACAAAATTAGCCTGAGGTTGAAGGATTTTTCATCAACTATTCAAGAGAGAGAAAAGGACGGAAAAACAACGACACAGGCGAGACATTTCTTGTGATCTGTCAGGGCGCTAATTTGTGATCCTAATTTTACGTCCAGGAAGAATCAAGTCAAATTATAACCGACTTATTTCAACGAAACACAGGAACATTGATCCAACACCTGGTACACAATTTCAATCAGTTCGCAAGAAAACAATACCAAAAAACGGCTGATTATCAGCTTTAAAATGTTTGGTCCTAAAATGT